TAAAAAATTAAGGAATTTACTTTTCCTAGCCTTCTCATCTCTGCCAAATCTCCCATTAACCGATCCAGATCATCACAGACTTTCCTTATTCTGCCTTTGTCAGGACCCTGACTGGCATCCGCAAATTTACGACCCTGTGCGATACATTCTTTGACAGCCTTCTCACCTGCAGAAGGACAGAGTCAAGAAGCATGATAATCAGTCATCACAAAAAGTTTTACAACAAGTCAATTATGTTCTGATACTGAAACAACTTGTCCCCTAAAAATACAAACTGGACACAATCCAATGCACATCAAGATCCTCTGGAACTCACCTAACCCTCCTGAGGACTCAGTTGGTGTCTGCACCCACTTCAGGGCTGGGCCCATGTTGCTGTCAAAGAGAGACATAGCCTTCTTCATGTCATTAAGGGGATCATCTCCACCTTCCTCTTCATACGTTGTGTATTGCAGCACCCTTATTATCTCACTAATCTCAAAAGACATTTTGCCAACAACATAATTTCTGTATTCCTGGGCTTCAGGAATGTTCTGACCTCCTACAAAGGAAGAATCATTAACAAATATAATTACTTTTCTTAGAGTAGCTATGGTACCTTTGGAGAGAAGTTACCACTATGTCAAATTTTTGTTTTTCTTAACAGTCCATTGATAATCAGTAAGATTATTTCAATGTATTGGAGCTGTATTATCTTTACCTCTTTGTACAGTCAACACAAAAGTCTTGATTGCAGTGATCAATTGGGTAGACATGGCTTTCACAGTATTCAGTGACTTCCTCAGCATGTCAGCATGAACTTGGTGAGTCAACTCCTCAATGCGACCTTCGACCTTTTTTGCCATTTCTGTGATTCCAGGTGTCAGGTTTTTGACAAATGTTACGAGTTCTTCCATACTCTCCACAACCTCAGATACAGCAAGATATTCTAGTACTCCCCTGCAAACCTTCAGAATCTTGCGCACTTCAGCTTCATCAAATGTCAGAAGCAATGCAGATGTGCCCGAGAGAATTCCTAACATAACAAAAGATTAGAGAAAAATTGAAAGTTACAATGAAAAGCAATCGGGAGTAATTATATATTTCTATCAGTGCACTTTTTGCTTCATTCTGTGTAATTAACATTTTCTGAGTATTTTAATTTTTTTGTGCCAAGAGGACTGAGTGTTCCTTGTGCAATTGAGATTAGAGAATTATCTTGCTGCTATAAAACCCTGAAAAGAACACAAAATCCCTAACAGGCTGAGTCACAAAGACTCATTTTAACCCTTTCACTCCCACAAGTGACCAAGAAAGAATTTCTCCTTATTTTATCAATACAGCATCAAGCAGACAAATGATGAGAATAAAGAAAAATATCAATTAGAGGATTATATGTTTATCCAATACTAAATTCTCTAAACTAATGTCACAAGAATTGTATAACAGACAGTAAGGAGAATTACTATTGAGATCTTGAAAGTGAAAGGGTTAATATTCAACTACTATGACTTAATAATTATAATAACAATCTTCATTATAATCATAAAAAACATTTATATGGGGTAGTCCTTCTGTACATAAGTGCTATTATCAAAGGGATTCTGTGTAAAGTATAAATATTTCAAATAAAAAAAAAGACGGTAATAAGATAAAAAGCAACAACATGGATTTTTTTTAATTGTAAAACATGAACAGGAGTTAAACCTGAGACACTATTGTTTGAGTTTGATTAAAACTAAATTTCCAGTGGCAATATGGTGCAAATTATTTTCATTATATAACTCAGGCAGTCAGACGGCCAATAACTAAAATCAACCAATCAAAATGCACTATTGCCGGTCAACATTCTCTCAGTATTGGACCGGGCACTGTCCCAAATGATACTGCAATTGTGTCCCTTTGAACTTCAGTTGTATAATAAATCTCTTATTAACCAAGCTTGCTCGGGACCATACTGGAAGAATATCGGCCCTCAGTCTTTTTTGTACGGACCTTGCTGCGCTTGGTCCGTACTGTCTAAATCTCAGGCCGATATTCTCCCAGTACGGCCCTCGCGCTTGGTTAATAAGATATATTTACAGACCAGCTATATGTGGTTAAGCATTGGACAAAAAGTTAATCAACAACATTTAATTTATTCCCTGGTATAGTAGTTGATGAAATAAAACTGTCTGCTCATTACAAATGTCAGGATGGTAAAATCTGTCTCCCATGATCAATACAATAATATTAATACTTGGTGAAAAATTCAAATTTTATTATTACCAACCTCTGGCACCATCAATTAACTTTTTACGAGCCTCTGGTGAAAATGGATCTCTTCTCAGAATCTTGGAGGCATCCACAAGGAAAACAGAGGATTCCTCAACTCTTTTGAAAGCAAGAGGCATTTCTTGTTTGAGGATTTGATCTTTACTGGAAGATGCAGTTTCTCTGCCAACCTAATAACAGTAAATGAAATCAAGATATTTAAAGCAAGACAAGTACTACACCCATAAATCCTTTCAATCTAAATAATCATTAATGCTGGCTTCTGAACAATTTTATCTTTGAAAATTTGGAGTTAAATTAAACAGTAACCCTTAGTTGATATTTAAATCTCCTCTGATCAACACCCTGCTTGAAAATGTATTCCAATCTACTGTTAAGACAAATTCCTCTTTAATCATTTCTTGCAGTGAAATTAAAGGATCCAGGTGTCAACATTAATATTGGTCTGGGAACGTTATCCCTCTCACTCTCAAGATCTCATTTATTTAGTAATTCTCCTCACTGTCCACCATATATCCATTAGATTTTAGTTCTGAGAATTTGGTTTTGGATCAACTGAAAATCCCTCGCTGATATTTTTCTTTAGTCTTATCACTTTCCTGCCTGATATTGTAAAGAGAAATTCTCTCTTGATCACCTGTGGATGTTTTAGGGTTAAAGGTGCTTTACTCTAGACCAATCAAATTCAAACCTACTGGGTAAATGATATCGTTAGTATTATCTTTGGACTAAACAAAGTAATTAGATAAATAAAAAGAAAAAGGTACTAACCTTGACAAGATTTTCAACAGCAGCTCCCACTGTTTTAACTGGCAGAGCCAGGTCAGGCATTGCTTTACCATCTTCAGCTTCTTCATGAAGAATGATTAGAGTGGAGACCTAATGAGTTCATTGAGTGCATGAATACAGTTTTTTCCAATTTTTTTATTAATTTAAAAACAGGATCTGCTTACAAGACATTACTTAACTTTAGGTAAAATGCTGTTGCACTGTATCATTTTTAACTGTAAGAATACTTAACATTGTTACTAAGTTCATTAAACTTAACATTGTTACTAACTTTAATTAAATAAGTTAATGACAGTCCCTAATACTACCTGCTCCTCTAGCACACAGCTTAAAATATCAATATTTTAGCAGGGGTTTCAATAAAAACCAGTTACTGAGAACCTTTTGCCACCTGTAAGACCTGATCGCTGTCTGTTTAACCTGGGAGCAGGAGTTTGTGTTTGGGGTTCATCATCTTACAGCACAGTGGCCTATTATCCCATCAGCAGCCGCTTCTGCAAAAAGTTTTTGACACCCTACAGATTCTAGTCTATGTATAGGAAATTAGAGTCAGTGGAAAAAATTTATTACACTTGCAAGACACACTACCTAAAGATAACACACTGCTCCAAACTGACGCTCTTGACCGATATGATTTGGATATATCAACAAAGTTGAAATGGTAAATTGGCCACCGTAACGATTACAAAATCTGACGTTTCGAGCGTTAGCCCTTCGTCGGAGCGAACGACGAAGGGCTAACGCTCGAAACGTCAGCTTTTGTAATCGTTACGGTGGCCAATTTACCATTTCAACTTTGTTGATATATCCAAATTGTTTCGTTACTCCCACCGACGCAGCCCCAAACAGTTTCTTTCGAAACTATCAGCCTTTATTCATTTGACTGATATGGTTTGGATGAGATGACCTTCACCTTGTCACACAAAAATTTGTCTGCCATTTCTGTCTGTAACTAATGTACATAAACGATAAGCTTGTCTTTATCAATCAAATTATGCAGTAAGCCATTAGTCGATGGGTTAGACATTTACGATCAAAAGACGCCCCCAAATATGAACCGCAAACTTCAAGCGATTGATAGAGAGAGTGCAAGTTTTATGACATTGGTGTAGAGAAATTGAATCGCGCACATAGCCTGAACGTGTCTTAACATTCAATTAGCTCATTAAATTGCGGTTAAATATGGCAAACTGAAATTCAGGGAGATTGTGCTAAACAACACGTTATCAAAAGTATGATTTAATACACCATTTCTGATAAAATTCGGTGATCTTTGACAATTCTAAGCCGGAGCTAATTTGAATGCCTTGACGTTTTACTGGGAAAACCCGATCGAAACTCGATGATTCCAATTATAAAAAATTGTTTACTTTGAATAACAAAAGACTCTAAGACCACGAAAAATATAAACTGTACCTTAAATTTACAAAAGTACTGTAACTAAGACTTGTAAAAATCGCATTTTCCCCCTATCTCCAGCTCATAGAAAGAAACAGGATAAACGACGCTTCTCCCAATCTGATATTGTACAAACACACCGGCGGAACATAAACTTTAGTCTTCTATTCCTCGCGAATTGAGAAGCCGTGTTTATAATATTCCTGCACGAAAATTAAACACAACATTGCCCACATCAAAGCAATTGATGAATCGTTCTACGTGATAACTTTTAAAATGACAAAAGATTTTGTTTCACATGCCATACAACAAACAGCTTTGTGAACCCAAGGGCAAAATACCAACACGCGCAAAACTATCTGTCTACAACAGTGCACAAGTTATTTACCCTACCTGTTGAGCGACAGGTTCCAATATTGACTCGATGGTTTTGGTGTGGAACACGGGCATTTTTAGCGCTTAAAGGGCTGATTTCGACTTCAATGCCTACTGAAACAAAATAAAAGGGAAATTCTTGTGCATACGGGAAGTGTACACACCTTTATACACCCAGCCCCGTAGAAAAATGTCCAAGTTGCGCTAAATGACGCCCGTGCTACTCCCAGGGGCCTGTACAGCGGAAATGACTTTTACTCGCCCCAGACTCTTAAGAAAATAACGCTTGGAAACAAAAGAAAAAACATGGCGGACGAAGACGTTGAGATGGACAATTTTTCGGAAGACAGAGCTGAATCGGCGAGTGATTTCGCTGGAGATGATGAAAATGAAAAGGTAGCTTGGGCTTTTTAATCTTCATTCAAGGAAGTGTGTTTTTTTGGGAGAGTTATTCTTCAAATGACGGCATGTGATTTGTTCTCATTCAGTATCGTGAATGCTAACCTACTTGTAGTTTGACAGATCGATTTGGGATCAGTAGAATAGATTCATGTCTTCAACAGTCTAAGAACGGAAACGGTTTTTCTTTTCAGAAAAGTGATTTTTAATTTGACTCGATTTTTCAATTATCGAAAAGTTTGACTCCTTCATAGTACGTTGAAAACACTCAAGTGCTGGTAACACAGATACCATAACAACATAACATAACATAACATTTATTCAGGAAGCTAGAACGCAAGTGTAAAAAATACATCCTGAAAAGGGAAAATCGTGAGGTTAGCCCTGTATAAAAACAATTTCCCTGAACTAAAAACATACAAAAGATAAAATTTAATGGCTACAGATTCAATAAATATTCAATAAATATTCAAATAAATTTAAAGTCTACTCTTAAAAACAGACAATGATTCGGCGTGGACAATGTGGAAATGAATTTGTACGGAAAAATAGTTTTTCCAGACCTCGAAAGGTATCAGTTTCAACTTAGAAATTATCAGCGTCAAGAACCTCAGTAAGTTATGTTTTCCTTGAAGACTTCAAATGTACTGTTCTATACCCAACAAACAAGACAGAGATTGCTCTATCTCACTTTAGCTATGCATGCGTAGTAAAACTTTCCAATCAGCTTCAATGATCCCACATTGATGGTCCATGGTGACATCAACTACTACTACAGTGCGGAATGTTCTTTTTGACATATTCCACAGATGGATCCATATGACACACTGGAGAGTGAGCCAGAGATACGAGTGGACAGAAGCCTTACTGACAGTGATCTTATGATAGCCCTAGCCCAAGTGTCTGAGAACAAACACATGATGCCTGGAAATGGACATGTTAAACACGATCTTAACGCGAGTTTGAGCAGCAGCATTAGCAGCTTGGGCAGTAGTCTGAACAGCAGTGGATTGCTTCTCAGTAAAGGCAAGGAAAGCACAGGTTCAGTGCCTAGGAAATCTGCTAGAGGAAAGCGTAAACTGGACAGTAGTCAACAATTATCCTCATCTAAAAAAGCAAAGAGGTGATTGTTTTGTTGTCATATTAATTCTACCTGTTCTGGACAATCTGTTGGTGGATAGCAAAGAGAGTAATGCAAATGAAAAGAAAGAAAGGGAAATAGGACTTATTTAACAGCAGTGAAAGAAAATTAACTTGAAGAACCAATAGAAGAACTATTTAAATTCTTTTTACTCTTATGAGTGGTAAACAAAGTTACATCTGCAATAGAAACTACAAATATATTGTCAAACTTTTAGTATATTTTGTTTGTTCTTTGTCTCTCCAGTGATATACCCTCTTCCCAGAAACTGCCACCACATGGTTATCCATTAGAACATCCTTTTAATAAGGTTGGTATTGGTTTGCATTAATTTCACTCTATTTCTGAATGAAATACTTTACTGCCCAAAGATTGAAATATTGTACTGCCCAAAAAGACTGACTGAACAAAAACAACAACTAAACAAACAAACCAACTCAAAACCTAACCCTGTTTACTCCCCTGGTGTATTTTTATGGACTGAATTTAACTCTGGCAATATTGTTTGAAAATTCAGGATTTTTTTTGTTTTCTTGGAGTACAACAATTCTAAATTATTAAAAAATATAGACTTGCAAAATTTAATACATACACATGTACAAGAATGTAACCGTTGGATGAAAAACTTTTTTACAGGATGGATACAGATATATTTTAGCAGAGCCAGATCCAAATGCCCCTCTGGCAAATATGGACATGGAATTCTGGGCTGGGAAACCCATTCCTGGAGATCTTTACAGAATTAAATTACACAAGGAAGTTCTCCTATCCATGAATGACAGAGGTTTGTAGATTGCATCATGAAATATTTTAATTCTAACCTCTCCCCCCCAAAGAAAGACTAGCATTTATTTTTTCAATACTTTATTAGTACCGAAGCAAATGGTAATGTTATGAGAATACAGAAAATGACCAACCACTTAATAAGAAACTCTAGATTATGAAACAAATTTTCCTTGTCAATGCCAAAGGAAATGTATAGAGAACACTGTGGAAAATATGCATACTGGAGTGAAGGTGTAAAGGCTTCAGAGTGGATCAGTTGATTTAAAGTCTTGTAAATTGTAAGGGACATGGACCCTCCTTCTCTTGTGACAAAGCAAATGAAATCTTTTTAAACTCGTTTGTCATGTTAGCTCCTCAAC